GTTTGGGATAGGACAAAGCATAATTTTCTTGCCCACACATGAAGTGATCATGTGGATCCCAGATGGAGATTTTGTCATCCACTTGTCCATATTTGGGGTAGCCAGTAGTAGGGATGAGCACACACACACTGTATTCATAAGTTTCTTTATAAAATTTTTTCACTTCAGCCCACTTCCTGAGTGATATTTTTCTGAACACATTTCTTATCATACTAAACTTTTTCCCAATAGAAATGTAATTAATTTTATTTACCTCTCCAAGGACATAACAGAAGGCCTTTAATGTAACATACCTTCTCATCCATTAATATGGCATTTTTAATAATAATGTAATTAGAATTTCCAGAACTGTATTCAACATTAAGGTTTTATATCTTAGTGATTGAAACTACTCATCATGGCACCCTGAACTGAATTATGCCCAAATAATTGATTATAACTTGAAATGAAAATAAAACATTTTTCCCTAAATTTCACCCCTGTCATTGTTTTCTATGAAGTGAAACTTCAGTGATTTTTTTCTTTTTTGAATTAAATACTTTCAAAAATATGTCTCATCATTTTGAATTTAAGTTCTGAAAAGTAGGGAAATAATTCATTTTACAATGCCATATAAAACAAAGAAAAGGCTAGCTATATGTATCTTCACTAACTAAAATCCCTTTAACCAGCCTAGTGAGAATTTAAGTTCAATTTCAGCTTTAAAAAGCCTTTCTGGTAAAACAGCACATTTATCTGAAGAGTAGGTTTATATTTGGAACTTTGGACCCCTTGTAACTGCCACGTCTCTAAGTCACAAACTGATCGTTTGAGAATATTGTTACTCCACTCTATGCCACGTTTGATTAGAATAGAAATGCTAGCCATAGCATTTCAAATTTCTTTAAAAAAAAATAGGAATAGGGCCGGGGATTTAGCTCAGTGGCTCCAGCGGCTGCCTCGAGAGTGCAAGGTCCCAAGTTCAATCCCAGGTACCAAAAAAATAAAAATAAAAAATAATAAATAATAAATAAATAAATAAAATAGTAATAGGGCCCCAGGATTTAGCTCAGTGGTTCTGGCACCTGCCTCTCAAGTGCAAGGTCCCAAGTTAGATCCCTGGTACCAAAAAAAGGAAAAAAAAATAGGAGTAAAAGGCTGGTCACAGTGACACTCACCTTTATTGTTTACTAATGGGAGAAATTTAACTGTTTCAATTCATGTGATTTACTATATGGAGACAGAAGGAGAAGGATCACATATTAGTGTCCAGGCTGAGCAACTGGGCTACTTAGCAAGACCCTGTCTCAAAAAAATTAAAATTTAAAAATATAAAAATTTTTAAAAGTTTCAAGATGTAGCTTAACGAAAAGTCCTTGGGTTTAATCTCCAGTACTGTACAGATAGAAAAGAAGGAAGGGAGGGAGAGAATAAGGGGTAAAGGGAGGGAAGATGGAGGAAGAGAGAGACAGAAAGACAGAAAGAGATTAAAACACTAGCTTTAAAATGCGCATATTTTAAACAATTTACTTATTAAAGTTCCCTTAAATCTGTTATACTCTTTAATGGTTGGCTTTGAGGATATATTTTACTAAGAGTTCATGAGGTAAACTATTTTTAGTCTCAAATTATAGGGATCTTGATCTGATAAAGCTAGAACACCTTAGATAAGAATCCTACATTAAAAATTGTTCACTTCAATTTCACACCTGTGTGTACATGGGTTTCAGCATTATATATTTATATTTGTACATTTAAGATACACACACACACACATATATATACACACATGTCTACATGCATGCACATAAGCACACATAAGGTAAAATAAAAATCTGTGAGCCCCATGCTCAGGTATAAATATATATGCACACAAATGCATGTGTACATGCATGTATATACACACACAGACATACATACAGATTGTGGTCAGTAATGTTTTCACATCACTTTACAAAAGGTCATGGATGCTAATTCTTATTATTGCCACTTTTATTGAGTTATGGTAATATCCTTGGAATGGTATAGAATATTTAAACAGTCCTGACTCTGGCTTATTAGGCATACAGTATAAATGTGGTTGCTGTCTAAATTCTAATTTGAGTAATTACAGTCTGCCTACCTCAATTTCCTCTGCAGCTTCAATTATATGTAATAGGGTTCTCTGCATTCTCTGTCAAATAGTAACACACTTGTTGAGTAATAAGTTTAAAGCTCCATATTTCCTTTAAAAACACTTTATTTTTAATTAGACTCAATGGCAAAAACCCTTCAAATTAATGTATTTAAAGTATATTGTTCTAATAGTAAAGAATTACATTTCATGATATACTATAATTTGACAATTCTGAATTATAAAATTTGTTAGCATTACTAGAGATATTCCCCCCATGAGGCATATATAAAAACTGAATTTTTGTAAATGTAATTTCTTTGTGTTTTAAAAGATCTGTAGAGAAATACCATATTTATATATATAAATTGGGGAGCCACTTTTTTATTTTTAATTTTGACTTTCATTAGTACATGCTTACAGTACAAAATGATTACATTCACTGTGTGAATTTGGTACATGTGCATAACACATTTTAATTTTTCTCCCTTCCCTCCATTCCCCGTTTATTTTGCCAGAATCAGATTATTTAACTGATAAGAACTTATAAAAT